CAGGACAAGTCCCAGATTTCTGGCTTGGAAAAATGAATGGATGGCAGCAGCATTTTGGGGGGAGCTGGTGGAAGAGTAAGTCTGAAGGAGGACTTGGAAATTCACTTTAGGTGATGTTAACTTTGATGCCGTGTGACACCTCGCTACCCATCTATGGTTCTTTCTGCAAGCAAATCAAACCTTTAAAAGGTGAAAGACAACACTAGCCCTTCTATTTCTTCAGGTTGTCATCAGCCACAGTGCTCGTATTTATTAAGGTATTTGTGAAAAGTGAAAAAGGTCTTTAAACTGAGTTCATACTTTTACTAATATTGGGAATTTTCACTGATAAACTGGCTGCCTGAAGGTGAACTTGGGCTGATGTACTGAGGACTTGTTTCTTGGGCATCTTGGAGAATATAACCTTGGGATATTGTTTCTTTAACCAAGAAGGAAGGTGGGTAGGTAGGTAGGTAGGTATGAAGGAAGGAAGGAAAGAAGGAAGGAAGGAAGGGAGGGAGGGAGGGAAGGGAAGGGGACAGAAGGGGAGGGTAAAGAGGGAGGGGAGGAAGGTAGGAATAGAGAGAGAGAGGGAGAAGAAGGAGAGGAGAGGAGAAGAAAGAGAGGAAGGGAGGGAGAGAGAGAGAAGAAGGAAAGGAAAGGGAGAGGAGGGAGGAAGGAGAGAGAGTAAGGAAGAGAGAGCAGGAGAGGAAAGGGAAGGGAAGGGAATGGAAGGTATGGGAAGGAGGGAGGGAGCGCAGGATGGAGGAAAGAAGGAAGGAAGGAAGGATGGTGGGAGGGAGGGATGAAGGAAAGGCCAGTGCTTTAATTCTTCTTTTTAATGATTAATACTCTTGTCTCGATGGTGACAAAATACCAAGGGATTGGGTGGATGGATTCTGAAGGAAGCAAACCAACTGATGAGCCACTTGAAAGCTGAATTGCAGCTTTGAAAATCCTCCCAGCGCACAAACTGCCCTCCCTGACTTTTCTTTTGTGGTGATAGCAGTTCTCTCTGCAGCTATGCGAAGAGAGTGTTTATCTGGGACAGTTTCCAAACGTGTCTTGCAACAGAATCTTGCTATAAAGTTAAATTGTGTGAAACTAACAATGATTTTTCTATATGCAAGGGAGGCTAGAAATATCCCAGACAAAACAAAAGTGAAATGAGCACAATCTGTTTCCCATCTTTAAAATAATTCTATTTCCAAGAGGAATGTAAAAGTTTAGAGTTTTTTAAAAAAAAAGGGGGGGGGACACTTACCATAGATCTAGGCGATGAGTGGCTGTATATACTCAACTGATCGTATTCTGGCCATTTTTATAACCCGCTGGTAATACTACATCAATTCAGGCTGTATAATGACCACTGTGTTCTGGTCATTCTGTTCATAGTGATACAGTCAGTATAATTTTTCTCAACTTCTTACCTTAGAGTTGGTGTGGATTTCAAGAATCATGCTTTAAAGATCTATGTATGTGTACCCACAAAACCCACCATGCCCACTGGAAACAACCACTGCTGCTTAAATATTTCACTCCTGCAAAAGGAAATGCGTTTTATTCTGGGCATCAAAAAGGGGATGACAGGCCTCCCCTACCCCCATTGACCTCCCCAGCCTCCTTTCCTGCTGTTCACCTCGTCACACTTTGCACACTAGAATATATGTGCAATCCCCTCCCTTGAGTGTGGGTGGGTTTAGTGACTTGATTCTAAGGAACAAAACCTAGAAATGTGATCAGGTCACAAGACTGTGACCTCCACCGTGCTGGGGCACGTGCTCACTTGCGGGCACTCCCTCCCCCTGCCCTCTCACCTGCTCACGCTGAGGAAGCAAGCTCCCCTGTCTGAAGCAGCTCTAAGCAGGGGACCCCATGGCAAGAAAGGGAGGGACAAACTGAGGACTCAACCAACAACCCCATGAGTGAGCCGGAAGCTGACCCTTCCCAATATAGACTTGAGATGACTGCAACCTGTTAGTAACCCTGGGCCAGGGGTCCCAGCAAAGAAACATCCAGATTTCTCGCACATTCAAGCTGTGACAATAATGATAAACGTGCAGTTCTGAGCCACTATTTTGGGGTAATTTGTTATGAAGCGGTAGATAACCAGCCCACTCCCCTTCCGGGGTGGTCGCAGGGATAACATGAGGTAACATAAAAAGTCCTGAGCAAAACGCCTGAGGCCACAGCAGGCTCCACACCATGTTAGCTCTGCCCTCCTCCCCTGCTGCTCCACCGCCCTGCTCCACCGTCACCTCACGTCTGGATCCCCACAATAGCTTTTGCCACTGGTCTCCTTCCTTCCCTGCGTCCGGCTGGTGATCCTCCTTAAAAACCAAACATAAAAACTTCAACAGCTCCCAGTTTCTCAAAGGATAAAAACCAAACTCATATTCCAGGCCCCCAGGCTGTGCCCATCCTACTTCCAAGCTAGCTCCCCATTCCACACTCACATCTCAGCACCCTTCTATTAAGATTAATCTATTCGCTCTATCCCAAATACACTTGGTCCATTCCCACCAGTATCCTCACTAAAGGAAGCGTACCTGCTCAGTACATACTCCCTCCTTTCTCCTGAATTCCAAATGCCACCCACCCTATCAGGTCACTTCAAGGACCATTCAGGACCAACCTCCTCTACTAAGCTTTTCCAAACCCTACCACCCCATGATAATCTTCTCCCTTGCCTAATTTAATATGTACTACTTTGGTATTTAAAATCAGACATGGGGGCCCTGTGTGGCTCAGTTGGTTGTCTGCCTTCGGCCCTGGTCACAATCCCAGGATCCTGGGATCCAGCCCCACATCGGGCTCCCTGCTCAGCAGGGAGCCTGCTTCTCCCTCTGCCTGCCATTCCCCCCACTCATGCATGTGTTCTGTCAAATAAATAAAAATCTTTTTTAAAATAATAAAATAAAATCATAGAGATATAAAATCTGAAAATAGGCAGAAGCAACTTCAGAAAGCATTCATTTTATCGGTAAAGAAACCCAGGCTTTGAGAGGAGAGGGACACCTGAATAATAACAGGACGAGGACCAGAATTCAAGCTTTGAAACTCTCACCGTTATTTGATTCTAGAAACATTTACCAAGTGACCATTATGTATAGGGCACTACAAAATTTCAAGTTTCTACCAATGTGTCATTCATACAATTAACAATAAAAAAAATGACTGAACGCTATTTACCAGATATTCTGCTTAGAATGAAGACGTTGCCCACAAGGAATTCAGGGTAGTAAGAACACAAAAGGGTAAACCAACAATTACAATACAGCTCAACAGGGTCTCTGACCGCAGGCTCTAAGAAGACGTAAGAAAATCACCTACATGCTCTCTTTGGTCCTGCCCTCCTTTACTCACCCATTCAGTTTTATAGACAGAGAGACAGACTTCTCACTTTTCTAAGGAGAGCAAATTAAAAAAAAATGTTCTCTCAAAGTAACTCACAAACAGCATACACCTGGAGTACCCACACTACTACGAAAAACATTTTTCTAATGTGATATCAGATCTGCAAGATTAGATCTATTCAAAAAAATCCTCAAATATACATAATCTCATTACCCTTTTTTTTTTAGAGTCGGTGTTTAGAAGTCAGACAGACCCTGAGTGTCAAACCCTGTTTGCTGTTTATTTGCTGAGTGCTCAAATTTTAATTTTCTCATCTGCAAAATGGGAGTAATATCCACCTTGCATGGTGTCTGTGGGAATTAAAAATCCTGTCTTTCCTCTTAATGTCACAAAACAAACTGAGGGTGGCCGGGGGTAGGGGGGTAGGGAGAGGGTGGTGGGGTTAAGGACATTGGGGAGGGTATGTGCTATGGTGAGTGCTGTGAAGTGTGTAAACCTAGCGAGTCACAGAACTGTACCCCTGGGGTTAATAATACATTATATGTTTTTAAAAAAATTTTTTTTTAATTATTAAAAAAAAAATCCTGTCTTTCACTTCTCCAGTGAAGACATACAAATGGCTAACAGACACATGAAAAAATGTTCATCATCACTAGCCATCAGGGAGATTCAAATTAAAACCACATTGAGATACCACCCTACACCAGTTAGAATGGCCAAAATTAGCAAGACAGAAAACAATGTGTGTTGGAGAGGATGTGGAGAAAGGGGACCCCTCTTACGCTGTTGGTGGGAATGCAAGTTGGTGCAGCCACTTTGGAGAACAGTGTGGAGATTCCTTAAGAAATTAAAAATAGAGCTTCCCTATGACCCTGCAATGGCACTACTGGGTATTTACCCCAAAGATACAGATGGAGTGAAAAGAAGGGCCATCTGTACCCCAATGTTCATAGCAGCAATGGCCACGGTCGCCAAACTGAGGAAAGAACCAAGATGCCCTTCAATGGACGAATGGATAAGGAAGATGTGGTCCATATACACTATGGAGTATTATGCCTCCATCAGAGAGGATGAATACCCAACTTTTGTATCAACATAGATGGGACTGGAAGAGATTATGCTGAGTGAAATAAGTCAAGCAGAGAGAGTCAATTATCATATGGTTTCACTTATTTGTGGAGCGTAAGAAATAATATGGAGGACATGGGGAGATGGAGAGGAGAAGGGAGTTGAGGGAAGTTGGAGAGGGAGATGAACCATGAGAGACTATGGACTCTGAAAAATAATCTGAGGGTTTTGAAGGGATGGGGGTGGGAGGTTGAGTGATCCTGGTGGTGGGTATTATGGAGGACACGTATTGCATGGAGCACTGGGTGTGGTGCATAAACAATGAATACATAACAAAAATTCTTTCTGATAACTAAAACACATTCAAATTTAATTAAGTGGGCACTAATTAATGAAATTTATCATAAAATCCCTGTGGTTACTAACTCTCCAGAATAAAAGTGTACTCCTTCGAAAATTTTTCTAGTATTGTAATCATTGCACAATCTTTTTACTATTTTCAGCATCAACATTCTGAGAATCCATTGTGTAATAGCTGCTATGGGGAGAGAAAAATGAAAAATAAAACGCTACATTTAAGAAATTTAGGATACAGATTGCAGTACATTGAGCTCCATAGAGACAGCGCCGGGGCAAGTGAGAGCCAGACGGGCACTGGGCGACTCTGTGCCTCGCTGAGGAAAATAATTAAACATGGGCAAAGGAGATCCTAAGAAGCCGAGAGGCAAAATGTCATCATATGCATTCTTTGTGCAAACTTGCCGAGAGGAGCACAAGAAGAAGCACCCAGATGCTTCAGTCAACTTCTCAGAGTTTTCTAAGAAGTGCTCAGAAAGGTGGAAGACCATGTCTGCTAAAGAGAAAGGAAAATTTGAAGACATGGCAAAGGCTGACAAGGCCCGTTATGAAAGAGAAATGAAAACTTATATTCCCCCTAAAGGGGAAACAAAAAAGAAGTTCAAGGATCCCAATGCACCCAAGAGGCCTCCTTCGGCCTTTTTCTTGTTTTGTTCTGAGTATCGCCCAAAAATCAAAGGAGAACATCCAGGCCTATCCATTGGTGATGTTGCAAAGAAACTGGGAGAAATGTGGAATAACACTGCTGCAGATGACAAGCAGCCTTATGAAAAGAAGGCTGCTAAGCTGAAGGAAAAATATGAAAAGGATATCGCTGCATACCGAGCTAAAGGAAAGCCTGATGCGGCAAAAAAGGGAGTTGTCAAGGCTGAAAAGAGCAAGAAAAAGAAGGAAGAGGAGGAGGATGAGGAAGATGAAGAGGATGAGGAGGAGGAGGAAGATGAAGAAGATGAAGATGAAGAAGAAGATGATGATGATGAATAAGTTGGTTCTAGCGCAGTTTTTTTTTTCTTGTCTATAAAGCATTTAACCCCCCTGTACACAACTCACTCCTTTTAAAGAAAAAAATTGAAATGTAAGGCTGTGTAAGAGTTGTTTTTAAACTGTACAGTGTCTTTTTTTGTATAGTTAACACACTACCGAATGTGTCTTTAGATAGCCCTGTCCTGGTGGTATTTTCAATAGCCACTAACCTTGCCTGGTACAGTATGGGGGTTGTAAATTGGCATGGAAACTTAAAGCAGGTTCTTGTTGGTGCACAGCACAAATTAGTTATATATGGGGATGGTAGTTTTTCATCTTCAGTTGTCTCTGATGCAGCTTCTACGAAATAATTGTTGTTCTGTTAACTGAATACCACTCTGTAATTGCAAAAAAAAAAAAAAAGTTGCAGCTGTTTTGTTGACATTCTGAATGCTTCTAAGTAAATACAATTTTTTTTATTAGAAAAAAAAAAAAAAGAAATTTAGGATTCAAATGAGAACACAAGAGAGAACAGTTCTTTGTTCAAAGCAAGCAAATACCTTCTTGCAGATTTAGTCATGAAGATATCAGATGCCAAGAATATAGTTCAACTTAAGGAGGTGTAAGTTTAATGATCAGAACAAAATGGGATTAATTAGGAAAAACTGTATATAAGAGACACATTACAGTATAATATATTCCTTTTCACGTTAATTTAATAGGACTTCATATATGTGATTATTCTTCAGCTTTCTGAATTAAAACTGTTCAGGTGGCCATAAGGTCTGGAAACACGGACAAATATACATAATAAATAGTTTAATGATACTCCAACAAATGCTCAAAGAATGTGCTGTTCCTCACTAGCAATTTCTGGTTCAACAACACGTGCCAAACTGCACTGAACAACGTGCACTAAAGTGGTATTTTCACCAATCCTGCTACATCCATCAACAACGCATCACCAAGGTGATTTGTTGTCTGATTTTCACTGAATAAATTTGTGTCCCTACATACCCGAGAAAGCAATCAAGGAAGAAGTATATGTTCTTGGTTTCTGGACTCTGTGGCCACCTGTATTTTTTTTTTTTTTAAGTTTCACCTCCTATAAGTCTTGCAAACATTTTTGCTATTCATATTATACCAAGAAAAAAATGAATACTAAAAATGAGATAACGGAAAAACAAAAATTGATTTATTTTACTTTTAAACTTCACACATTTTACTGAAAATAAAGTGATTTTTAATCTATGAATAAAAGACTCTCTAAATGACACTCAGGATGTTTTACAAGTTTGGTTTTAAGACAGATTTGAATTCACAACAGGTCTTACGCACAATGATTTCAATCAGTCAGGCACTCCAAACACAATGTGGAGGTATAACAAGTATGTGATGAGTTCGTAATCGTCCAAGGGTATATAAAGACCTTTTTTTTTTTTTTAAAGATTTTATTTATTTATTTGATAGAGACACAGTGAGAGAGGGAACACAAGCAGGGGGAGTGGGAGAGAGAGAAGCAGGCTTCCAACTCAGCCCGATGTGGGGCTCGATCCCAGGACCCTGGGATCACGACCTGAGCCGAAGGCAGATGCTTAGCAACTGAGCCACCCAGGTGTCCCAATATAAAGACCTTTTTTAAATATGGAAAGAAATTAGTCTTTCTACAGTATTAACCCCTAAAAGCTATTCTCCTTTATAGACAACGATATTATTGTCAGTTTCATACACTTTTACTTTATAAAGAACTCCCAGAGGAAGAAATTTCTGGAGGTTTTCCCAGATATATATAGCCACATTTTCTGTCGTGCTGTAGGAAAAAAAAGAAAAGAAGATCAAAGGCAAATAAATAAAATTTCATTTTTGATATTTATAGAGAACAGAAATTCTAGATTTAAAACATAATGTTAAACAAAACTTCAGAAATCACACAGCTATTGACAGCAAATTATTCTTTCTTACTATCTACTAAGGAAAGCTGGTCACACTCACCTTACAACATCTGCGAAGTATGGCACATCCAGATCCAGATTCTTATGATCGAGGGGCTTCATAATTGCCTCCTACATATAAGACGAAGGAAAAACACCACTCGTTCCATTTAGGGCTCAAATTCTGAAGTGTTCTATCTTTGCCCCTAAACCTTACCTCATCAGTGAGCCACTAACTCAGTACTTCTAAGTACTCTGTGTCTCACTAAGCAACGCTTAAAGTTGAAAAATAAAGCAAGGCCCAGATCTCCATAATGACTGGTTCTCCTCATTACTAAATGCAAAGACATAAGAAATCAAAAAGTACAGGAGAATTCATTGGAGCTTTCTTGTAACCAGCCATTGCGGTTCAGAATTGAGTTTAACGCTTCTTGAATTCTGTCCAAAAACTTACCAAAATACTAATTACTAAAAATACTTCTCTATATAGTCTTCTCTTCAGCCCAATGCCACAACGTCATTAGGCCAAGAATCCTGTGAGTACCATTTTACAAAGCAGACTAAGAGTTAAACTATGTAAGTAGTTCTAAATTTCTGCTATGAGGAGTAATTTAAGAAAGATCTTGGACTCTTAAGAGAAAAAAATATAAAAGTATGTGAAGACCGTTGCTTCCTAATATGTGTATATATTAACATAATGTTTTCCTTTGTCAGTGGCAAGAACAGTAATTGCCTTATTTTTCTCACTTTTTACTTTCAGCTATTGTACAAAATCTAAGCATTTGTGAAACAATCTAATTTCCCAATGGTATGTTTCTCAGAAGGGTACATTAATAATACTAATCATCATTTTTTGAGTAAAACCAGAACCATATAAAAACTGTTAAGCCTTAAAACGAATAGCCTTTAAAACAGATCAAATGAAAGGCAGTTCCAACATGGATATCAAGAAAATACCTGTTTTCTCTTCGATTCCAATTCAGGCCCCAACTTTTCTTTTGAAGCTTCTTCCAAAGGCCCCTTCTGACTTTATAAGCCACAATGAGCAACTCTTACTGATGGGATTACATGGTATCCCTCAGGTACAAAAAGTGGGGAAGAGTTCTCTACAAAGAACCTCTCCTCCAGCACGTGGTCATATGTTTGCATGGGATGCCTCATATTTCCTACACTATTGTCTTGAATTGTACAGCACTCTGTGCATATATATTTTATGTCCCCAGTAAATGCAAAAACTCTGTCTTTATAGCTTTCCTAAAGTACCTGAAACACACTGCTATCTGTTCATTCACTGATTATTTTTTTTTCTGAAGATTTATTTATGAGAGACAGAGAGCACGCACGCACGCGAGTGGGAGGAGAGGCAGAGAGAGAAAGAGAATTCTGAAGCAGACTCCCTACTAAGCGCAGAGTCTGATTTGGGGCTGATCCCAGGACCCCAAGACCATGAACTGAGCCGGAATCAAAAGTTGGTTGCCCAACTGACTGAGTGACCCTGGTGCCCCTGATTTATTTATTCAACTGAAACTTACTGAACACTTATTATTATTTGCCTCCTAAAAAGGTAACATGAGCACTCTGTGGATAAGGGCAATGTCACAGTCACCTCTGTACTTAGTACTTAGCTCAAAGACCAGCAGAGCGGGCAAAGTTGCTGAATATATGGATGATAAGTACCATAGAAGCAGTAATGATCATTAACAGCATTTTTATGAGACAAATGTCAGATTTTAGAACAAGAGTAAGGAGCAAAGTGGGCACCTAGGTGGCTCAGTCAGTTAAGCATCTGCCTTCGGCTCAGGTCATGATCCTAGGGTCCTGGGATCGAGCCCCGTGTCAGACTCCCTACTCAGCGGGGAGCCTGCTTCTTCCTCTCTCTCTGCCTGCCTCACGCCCTGCTTGTGCTCTCTCTCTCTGTTAAATAAAATAAAATGTTAAAAAAAAAAAGAGTAAGGAGCAGAGTTTAAGAGAAGAACCAAACAAAGAGGTAAAATGATGGAACAATAAGAATAAAGCTGGATAGGAGGAAATCCATTCCCAACTTTGTAAAAGACTAACCCCACAACCTAAGGCAAGTCAGTGAACTGTTTGGCTCTCTCAATCTTAATCTATGGAATGAAGAAGTTGGTTTGGATAATCTCTAAAGTCTCTGACAATGCAGGATTTCTAAAATGATATGGTCAACAAGTCACTAATTGAACTCCTTCTTCTGTGTTATCCCTATGGTAAACTGCCTCAGTGAGTTTATGATAAAACTAGAGTGAGTAACACAGGGTAGTGTTAGATCTATGATCAAAGGCGTAAGGCAAATCCAGAGAAGGAAAGGAAAGCTTCAAGGAAAAAGCTGTATCTTGAAGGAAAGGCAGAATTTGCTAAACGGAGGGAATGAGGATACACCAGCAAGACATACAAGATGAGCCTGTCACTGTTGTTCCCATCACTGCGATATAACTATGACTTATTTTCTTTACATCACCCAAGCAACTTTAGAAAAACATGAGAGTAATTCTTCCAACTACTTCCCTACTCCCACACCCAAATCCATTCACAAGGTCATGGAACCTCTGGAGATACTTGGTTGGGGAGGTAATGGGGGGGTATCAAATATACCTAGAGGACAGTACCTAATAAGCAACCAATATGACATTACCTCCATATACTCTTTGAGGTCAGTCAAATTCATAACCATTCCTGTAACAGGATCAATCTAAAGAGTAAACAAAGGTGAATGTTAGTATAATATGCTCGTCATATTTAAACCTCTGTTAAATTATTAAAGGCTGTACAATGTGCAAAAATTGTGCCCACATCTGCCTTCATCCCCAGGACACTCATCGATCTCAGTAAGGAAACACCAGGTGCTCCAAGAACCCCTTTCATGGTCCTGCTCTTCTACCTGTCCACATAGAGCAGATTAAAGATAACCCTTTGGGAGAGGAAAGGCCTAGAACGGTAGCAGCTCACCATACACAAAGGACAACAATGAAGCAATATTGATTTGAACAGAATTTTTCAACACAGAATCCATCACGTTGGCTGAAAGGGCCCACAATCTGCACAAATCACACAGATCTTTTCAGCACGTACCTCTCCATGCACTGTCACCACAACTATGGGAAAGAAAACAGAATACCAAAAAACCACATGACTTTCAACAGGTAACACCCAACGCAAGTTAACAATACAACTTAAGTGTTAGATCTCTGCCCTGCAAAGCCCTATTTATATTTTCCCTCAAACTGCTGTTCTGTTAGTTAAGATCTTTTTATCAACCAAAGCAAGATCAGCGAAGACAGAGAAGCTCAGCAGGAGCTTTGGCTAAGCAGAACAGCCCAGCCAAGGCCAGAAAGGGTGTACATTCAGCTTGCGATGTCAATGCACTAGGTGGGAATGTCCACTAGGTAGAATTGAGATGCTGCTCGATCACTGTCTACAAAAGTAAAAAATGTACAGAAAGACGTCCAGCTACACACCAAGCTGGACCAACACTGGGCAGGACCTTTCTCAGCAAGCAAAAGCATTACAGGGCCTAAAATTCTGATCCCTTC